TGTGCCGAGTAAGAGCTGAAAGTTACTCCAGAACCTCTGCACACTGCTTCCTATTGATTGTCGAATATCCTCGTCTTCTTGTCGTGCGTGGACGTAACCATATAAAACCTTGTGTTTGTATATTTAATTTATTTTCCTTTCGCTCTTTAATTTCCTTTGGGATATCTTTTGTATCTTTTGCTCCACGGCCAATTGATCCATATTTGAACGCGATAGATCAGTAGATATTAAAAAAAAAAAAAAAATGAGCATATTGTAGTTTTTTTTTAATTAAACTTTTTAATATTACATTTTGCAATTTGAATAAAACAGATATTGAAAATCAATTAAATGATAATAATAATAATATATAAATATAACTCATTTTTTCCCTTCACGCTGATCCTCTCTTCTCTCTCATGTTTTTCTTTGTCAAGCACAAATCTAAAAGAAAAACCCAAACACAAATATAAGGTTTAAGACAAAATCAAACAAAAAATCTCTACCTTCTTCTATTTTTTGACAAACTTTCCTGCGTTTTCCATTGGGATTATTTGAAATTTGAGTCTCTTGATCTTGAATGCTTAGCAGTCCGTGAAAAAGTCAAGTTGCAGGTCAAAAGGTGGGCAATTGAATGCTAGTAGGATTAAATTTTTATTGGCAGAGCGAGAGATTGTAATTTCGTCTCTTTGATTTTAATTCAAAAGGTTAAGAAAGAACATAAAGAGAGTTTCCATTACAAAAATAAGAGAGAGCAATTCTTTATCATCTAAGATACCAAAAGGTAGGAGCAGGGAAAGCAATTTAGCACCTATAATTTTTACACTATTCCACTTCAGATCATTTTGTTTAGCAATTTTCAATGCCAGGCTCATAGTGTCCTTTCTGTTTCATGCTTAAACGAACCAATATGGGGTCCTTGCTACAGTTGCACCTCCTGCCACTTCTTTCTCCATGAAGATATGTCGAGCTGCCACGAGAAATAAAGCGGCACATTCATCTTCATCCACTGGCAAAGCCACTATCTCATTATATCGGGAAATGCATTTGTATTTTGTGTTTTCTTTACGGAAGGATTCAGATGGGTTTTGGTTGTGTTTTCGTGTATGATTCGTGGTCCAAACTGACCGGATTCTGGGTTTAAACTAAGGCAGATCAAGGCTGTGAAATTGACTGACATTTGAGTCAAGAAAGGAGTGATTTCTAATTCCATTTTAAGGTTAAATTGCCCAGAAAGAACGAAGGTTTTGGCAGAGATATGGGGCGAAATGTGATGCTGGCAACTGTGGAGGGTAGATAGGGATAACATAGTCAAAGAGATGGAGAATCTGCTGCTGGAGGTGATGGGGAAGGTTGTTATGCAGAAGCAAGGGAGAGATACGATGGAGATGATGGTTCCCTGTGTAAAAAGATGGGAGAGAAGCGCAAATTTATTTTTTTTGTTCAAGTTTTTCGATGATATTTTTATTATTTCTAGTGTATGCTTTCTAGTTAATACTTCGAATATAGTAACTAATTAATTTTTAGGTTACAAAGTATAATTAATTTTTCAAATAGATATACCTGTAAGAATGTTATTTTAGTCATTGAGATATATATATATATAGATACACATATACATATTATAAATGTTATTTAATGGGGTACCAGATAAGTGGCGAGAATGTTATTTTAGTCATTGAGATTATATATATTATAAGTGTTATTTAATGGGGTACCAGATAAGTGGCAAACAACAATAGGTGCCCAGATGCGCAAATCATTATACTAATGCCATTTTATTGTAGAACAGTGGAAGGCGTATCACAAGAAGAGAATCTGCAACGATGAAATCTGATCGATATAAAAACTGAGTGTTCATGCTCTAACCATTAAATGATAAAATAAAGCTAATTAGTACAGAAATACCACTGGTAAAAAGGAGAGGGGAAAAAAGGGTCACGGTCCACTTATATCTTGTGTGTAGATATAGTCTGTATGATCAGCCATGGACCTTCTAATCAAACATTCTTCTGCACTTTCTAACCCAGAGCATGACCCATCATCATTGATGCTTGACTCCTCCTGCATGAACAGAAACAAGACATTAGCTCGCAATCTTGCATCGTGATAAATAACTTAATTTTTCTTGTGGGAGACTAGAAATACAGGCTCACAGGTGATGATCCCGCAGGAATGTGTGAGGATGTTTCCGGCGGTGTGGATTCTGGTCTGGTGGTGGCTGAAATAGACCTGGATTTTGCACCCGAGAATAAAAGAAACAGTACCATCATTAAGAAAGCGAGCTTCCTCGGCATTTTTGTGATTAAGACAGGAAGAGCTTGTGGAGATAAATGGAAGGCGACGGAAAGTTTGCTACCTTATATAATTGAGGCGGTGTATCGAGAAGTGAGACCGACTTGGGATGGAGAGCAAGGGGAAGGCTCCTCCATAAATGAGCATTGAAATCATGCCACCAAAAGTCAAACATTACATCGCCAGTGCCCACTTGGGGTCAATGATTTCTATTTCTTTCTTCCTGGGAAACACCACCATTTAGAGACATCGTCGAGAATTGTTTTTCCTCTCGTCCTTTTGCCTTTTCCATGTCGATGATGCAGTCAAGGAGTTGTGCTACGTGTGATAAGAAGCTAGCTAGCTGTCCTTGCTGGTGTTTGATAAGGATCTTGCATGTGATAGGCACCTACCGATCTCGGGCTCGGGATGGGAATTTATTGGCAACCTTTCATGATTTAGCTCCTGTAGTTTTTTAGAACTCGATTACGGTAATTTTAATTCAACATGCCTATATAGCTCGATTAGCAGTGGGATCATTCTCCTTCTATCCTCTTCTTTGTAACAAAAAAAATAAATAAAAAATAAATTGAATTAAACAGAAACGAGAAAGGGCACACCAAATTAGGTGGATAAATTGGGCAATCATAATGTAAAATGCAAATAAATAGAGAAGTGACACAAAATAAAAAGTTTTGGTAAAAAATTTTTTTCTTAGGATGTCAGGGTTTCTAGTCACGATATTTAATTAAATTTTTATAAATTGGTTGACTGCATCACAATAATTAATTAAACCAACAAACAGATTACAATCCTGATTGAAATTTTATTAATTATAAAAGTTGATATAACATTACTAATAAAATTTGTATTAAACTGATAATAGTTTTTTTAGATAAAAATCGAAATACATGCATTTAATCTTTTTAATTTTGT